ACACTGCCTGAAGCAAAATTATATTTTAACGAGTGAAAAATTTGGTTTGGCCCACTTGCCAAAAAAGGGACTGGTCATCGAGCCTGTCATTTTCTAGTACCTACGATTGGAAACTGCAAGGGAAACCGGAATTTATACATATATAATATTGTATATTATTGTGTTAATCTCATCGCCGAGTAACTGGACGATGAGAATGGTGTCTTTTCGACGTACGAGTAAAAGTTAATGTTACGCGACGGAATTAAATTTCATAACATCGCATAAATTCATGATTTTTGTTACTGTTACAATTCCTAGTATATAGCTTTAAAACTTCCTGTGCATCTTGTTTATTTATTTCATAGTCTAATTTTTGAGTTAAAAATTATATTTACTCTCTTATAAGATAATTTATCTATTTGTTTTCTAATTAAATATTAATTCGTATTTCAATGTTATACCATAAATTATAATTTCCAATAATTCAATTTTATGTTGTTGATTAGTAGTGTCTTTGATAAATAGGTCAAATTAAATTTGGTGACGAACTTGTCGATTATTTTTATTTTTTTACGTTTTCTGTAGTTTATGCATTCTCGTGGCTCATCCATTACAAATCAGTTTAACAACCATGTGATCAGCCATATTTTTTTAACAGAATGATGTATACTCACAACACATATACTAACTGTTCTTCTCCAAACAGGTTTGAACAAAACTGTAAGCTTGTATCCATCATTGTACATTTGTTCATCTGTAACAATTTTTGTTATAACAAATACTGAATGAAAATAATACTACTATGTAAAACGTTTTCCAAGCCTGTAGTTTAAATGCACGAGAGAGTAATTTGTTTTTAAACAGTTTATCTGTTTCGTTCATTTCGAGGAGTACTCATTAGACTTTGTAATTTAATGTTCATTAATAGGGACACATGCCTAAATACATTACTGTAGTATGGGCGAGAAATCAATTTCTAGTAACTCACGGCCTTGAGTATGGCGGGGGCAAGGTTGATGGTCTTTTAAACTCAATTGTAAAATCGTTTTTGTATTTGAATTCCATAAGACCGTAATTGATCGTTTAATTTAGAAATAGTTGTATTTGTGGTTATTGCACGACATTATGTGTTGAGTCGACCATATGTTTTTTTGTGTTTAGAGTCCTTCGACCGCCCCCTTCTCGTCTTGTTAAATCGCGATAAATCCTGCAAGACTTTCTCAAAATATTTGCGTACGTGATTGTTTTTCTTCTCGGACAATTGTTATTTTCTAAGATTGATTTTATTTTATTATTCGTAAAATATATATATATATATATATATATATTTAAAATAAAAATAAAACGTGTACATGTCTCGTATAAGGGGATTCGTCGTTTATAAATAAAGAGTGTGTTGAAAAAGTCAAAATGGCGTCACAGCAGATGCCAAGTGCATTGCGTCTATTCTTGGACCTTGGCGTCTACATTGTGTGTGTGTTTTCTCCCCTTCAAAGGACTCTCTGTACCAACGCATCGACGGTGAAAAATAAAACACGCACTCGCACACGTTAATAATGTACCCTGTTACATAAATAAAATGTTTTCGGTCAATGCCCGCATACAGTTATTATTTGTTAAATTAATATACCACCCCGATGATGGGGGCTGTTTAATTTTTCACCGTTTGCGAATAACTATTATACTAAACTCGAACAATAATACAAATCGCCTTTTAATGGTTTTTTTTTATTAATAAATTATTAATGAATAATCATTTTAAATTTCTCCCATATTACATGCCGTGTAATGTACATATGCGCTCGCGTTTTAGCCTTGAAGGATAGAAAGAAAAGTAGCAGCAAGCAACGAGATTGGTAATTCGAGACACACCGCGCCGCGGAGAACAATGTGAAAACGATATTACATAGATGAACATGTCACACTTGTTGACTTCAGAGTTGGAATTGTGTATTGTTTTACCCAATCGTAATCCAATATCCCCTTCTGCCTAGGGAAATGTTTTATGAAAAGTGTACAACGGGATTTGTACTTATAAAAATTGTTCATTCCGACTTGTTGTTGACCCTTTATAACGAGTCAACTGTACTTTGTGAACCACTGGGTTATCATTCAGTATTTTCCAGTCCATATTATATTTACATATACGTGTGTGTTTAGCATATATGTAATAACAATAATAAACGATTTGACTACAGTTTTAGAATACTTGGTTACGTGGTTTATACACATACGTTTTAGTCGGGAAGACAAAGCACGGAAACCTTGCCGTGACGTATCCTGTATGTTTAACATTACTTATATAATATTAGAGACGATAATTTATAGAGAATGAAAATTTTGATTTTTTTTTTTCGAAAGAGAAGCGCGTGGTAATCATTACAAAATTGTTCATATTTCTGTGACATTTATTTTTTTAGCAATTGTCGAGCACATTTTTAAATGCAGAATGTCTCATAAAATTCATTAAAATATTTAAATGGATTAAGTATAACGCTTTTACACGTAAACAATATAATTTATAGTATTTGTTGCTATTTTAAGTATTTTAAATTATGCATTTGATGCACTTATGGAATGTTTAAAATTCTTATACATATTTTCTCTAATTATTTGTAGACAACAATTTTGTTTATTTCGAACCGCATTTAGAATTGTCTATACTTCGTTTAATTATCGGTCAGTATAGTTACACCATAGATACGGTTTATGTGTAGCTCTTGTATGAAAAACGTTGACTTTCAATGGTATCTGATAATTTTGCTTGTGAAAGTTTGGTCTTCAAACGTTTAAAGTGTTTCACACAGATGGTACCTGTTCAATACATTTATATGCGTTTCTCGATCAACTAGATTGTTGCATAGAGCCGTAGTGTTGGAGGGGTTTAGCAGGTTTATGGTTTCTTTAATTATATTCCGTTAATGTTAATTGGCTGTGGCTTCGAGGTATATGTACGCCTCTTAGGGGCTGTATCGTGTACAGAAAAATGTAACACCAAATTCTCTTGGTCACCCCCGTGGGCGGCTAGTGTTTTTCATATCATCTTGCACACACGTCTTGTATATCATATATTTTTATTATTCGTATAAAAGAAAAGGGTTCTGTTGTTCAGACCTTGATGCGCGCGTCCGTTTTCCCCTTCCCTCATTGCTCAGCGGCGGTAACCGGTTTTCATTACATATAAATACGTTTGGAATCTCCTCCCATGGTCCGGTTCTTGTCGATTGCCGTATATCGCACGCGTTCAATAAACGCCATAGGAAAAGGAGAAGTATGTAATATGTATGTCTTATGATAGGGAAAAAAAGAAAAAGAGTCGATTTCGATTTACAATAATTTCGACACCGGTAGCGTGTGGGTGTGTGTGTGTGAGTGTGCGGTGTGTGGGACGATTTCCTTCCACTTCTCAATTACATAATATAAACCTTAAAATAAAGGTAATAAAAAAATAATTTGTACACACCCATGCTCGCTTCTTCTATGCTGCATCCAAAACCAATTCGACCTTTGAGACAGGATTTATATACTGCAATTTATGTACGCCAAAACCATGGTCGGTAGTCAGTGACGGTGCATTCGTTTCAACATGTTACACAACGCCCACCATCACTGCCGATCCGGCGAGATGTTATACCAAGTGGACTTGACGGTTTTTTTTTGTCTCGATATACGTCATGAATATTTGTGTTAATTGATCAGAGACCAGGATTAATATATGGATTTAATAATAAATGTTGTAACATGGTTGACGAAATCTCCAAAAAAGACAAAACAAAAATTATATTAACCTACAAGTGTTTGGTCGCTGCTTTTTTTTTAATATATACGTAGATATAAAAAACGCTCGCTCGCATGTTTTGTATTCGAACATAACACCGAATATTATCGATTATATTATATACTGGTTGTCGGCTTTCGATTGTTAAAAAAATTGATTTAGTCTTATATTTAAGTGTTGAAATTGGTATTTTATTTTTCTATGTATTCTTGTCTCTGAAAACAAATTTAATCTTGAAAAATAAACAGTACTTTTTAATGTTTTGATATATAAACGTATTGTACGAAACTACGACATTGGGGTGTTTGTACATATTTTCTTTTTCGGTTGATCAGGTTTTTTTTTCAAAAGTATTATGTTTGTGTTGTCGGTCTACTAGTACTGTTATTACAGGGTAAGTTAATATTTCGATTCCGTGACGAAAACCCCTTTCTCTCCAGATAATGCGGTGAGCAGGTGTCTAGACGTGTAGTACGTTTTATTCGACTCAGGTTTGAAACGTTCCCCATGGAGAAAATATCGAATGGTGAAATCCATAAATAGAAAACGTAACAATAGTTTTGTATGTATAAAAAATAGCATAGGGTTTTCATGTTATTATTTATAATTATAACTTAAAAAATAAACTTAATATCCGGCGTGTGTCATTGATTATGTAAATCAGTCTCGTGTGTAGGAATCATCCAATGGGAGGGGAGATTCAAAATGATATATGTTACGTTTGTTATTAAGTCCATAAACAAACACACATTAGAATATACATGATCAAAATTATCAGGATCGAAAATTGATAAATATTAGTACCTAATGTCTGAACAGCTTGAACAGTCAGTGAAAATGAGTTCTGTCAATGACTGCATTTACAACGATAACCGACAGTAGGTGAAAGAAACGCGAAAATTCAAAAAAAAGTTCTGTCAAATCGAGAACATCGACACTTTTAAAACGAAAATATACAACCATGTATGTATTTTCAAGACCGTTTAACTTTTTAGAGTGAGTACTATATTAATAAAAATATACGTAAAAAAATTCTCAATGGGAAGGAATTAGAATCCGCTGCAGTATTATTAAATATTACAAAAACATTTCGATGCTCGAGATATTCGCGCTAAAGTCAATCGTTACTAAGTGGGATGGTCTCAAACCGAATAAAAACTATTTCATATATTGACGTTTCCGTGTACAAATAGTACTAGAGTTTTCATCGTAATTCACACGTATTATTTTTCTGTTACAGAAATAACCAAAGTCCGGGCCAGCCTGTTCGAGGTAAACGGTGTGAAGAAGGAACCACTGGTGCTGCCGGAACCGGACGGCGCGCCCGTTACTATTACCGAAAAAGTGTTCGTGCCGGTTAAGGATCATCCGGAGGTAAGACTGCCGCGAGGCGTTTGATTTATCGTTATATTTAAACATTATACGGTACGTATTATTGTTTACCCGGAGCGCGAAGGAAACGCGACGGATGACATAATCTTCATCCGCGTATCACCCACCACCACCACCACCACGCGCGCTCGACACCGTTAAAAATAGAAAGAAATATTGTGTCACCGCTGCCGCCGCCGCGCCCACGCTCTGCTGCTCGGTTCGTGCGCGAGCTTAGGGCCCTATCGCGAGAACATCGTGCCAAGAGCTCAACTCGTTCCCGGACCGTATCGCGTATCCTCCCCCGCCCACCCTTGGCGTTCGTCCAATATCGCAACAACCAAAATAAATACGAAATGTTTTACCGTAAAACCGAAACGAAAAAAAAATGAAACAAACAACACACGCTTTGCCCGTTATGCCGTTTTACAATAATAATCGTAGTTGTACTTTAATAATAGTACGTACGTTTTCGTCGCCGACGACTACGACGGTGTTGATGTTCTCGCGTGGAGTACACGCGCACGTTAAACAACCGTCGACGGACGACCATCAAACGTCCATGGGATAATCGTTTCGTCCTACCGATTCTTATCGATTCCAGTGTTTTCATTTTGTTTTCTAAAATATACGAAATCGTATATTATTCAACTCACGTACGTGCGCGCGTATGTCTTTTGTTTGGTTTTTCGCCCAACAGTACTTGTTCGTGTTGGTGTGTGTGTGTGTGTGTGTGTGTGTGTGTGTGTGTGTACGGATAAATCGCTCAAGGTCTTTTCTCTACTGCGGTCTCTCGCATCGTTTTTCTTTCAAGAAAATCTATGATTTTTTTCCTCCGCCGCAGCCGCCGCCTTCTGGCAGACGCGTGTTTAAATTCAACGCACATGTTCGTGTAAAACAGCCTTTTTTCCCCTCCCCCGTCGCGATTTCTATAAATACGAGTAGGTAGTTCGGTTGACTGGCTAACCGCGCGTCGCGTACATGTGTGTATTATTTCCTGTCGGTCCCGTATATCCCTCATCGTCGTACACCACCACCACCACTATTCCTAGCTACTACCCTTACGACGAGTTGCTGCTGTACTGCTGCCTTATCTGAATACTAAAACATATTTAACACCGAAACGCAGGGCTGTATTTTTATTTCTTCGAAAAATCCTGAGAAATACGTCTCGCAGCGAGCAATAAAACAATAGGTCTTAGTTATTATCGTGCTAACGGGTACACAGGGGACGCGTTGTCGTTTAAGCTGAGTACAGACACACGGCCTAGCGAAAACAATGTGTTATACACGGTTCGTTTCGCGTGTGCAGGTCAAATATGGCGGCCATTCACGATCGTGGTGGCGTCGATTCGTCCGGAAAACAAGGCCTTGCGACGAGCTCTCTTTGTGTTGACTGTGTGGTGACCCTTTTTCGTCTGTGCGCCACGGTACTTACGATTCTATTATTAAGACGATACAAAATTAGAGAAAAACCAGTGGAAAACCAATTTTGTGTACAAATAATATCCGTTGTTTTCATTTATTTATATTATTAAAACATCTGTGTATACAATTATACGAGTGAATCATTCGTGTATATACACACACACTATATTCATATATAAATATACTGCGGTCATGGTGTGTGCACTTATATAATATGTGAAGTTCTCGTGATTTAAGAATTTGTTTTATTTATTTATATTCAACGTGTTTTATTAATTACCACGTATGTCGTTCCTAAACGCTTGATCCGTACAAAATATTTCGCAATATTTTAATCAAACAATTTTATACGCCATTTATGTTTTCTTTTATTGCTGTATTCTTCAAGAAATTAAAATTATTTTTAATAAGTTTGATTTAAATTCTTTAAATTACACATTTCAAAGTATTGGGGTGACCAACATTTCTACCCATTTTTTTTTTACATGAATAATGTACAACTTGTAATTGTGTCATATGATGTAACAATCTATAAAACAATTTTTTACAATTTAATATATTTTTAAAAAATATTCATGTATTGAATATATCAATGAAATATCATGCTGAGCTATTCGACTGTCAAATTTGATATTTTAGTGTTAATCTGTGTTTATAATTATTTTGAAACCATTTTTTATATTTTGTCGTGCCGTGAGAATACCGCTAAAGAACGGAAATCAACCTACGTAATTCCGATTCGAATCTTTCCCCGGAAAGGATAATAACATCGACCTTACTAGTTAGGTTATTATATAGTGACAGGGAGGAAAATTACTCGTCTCTCATGCGTTTTACGCATTTCATGTATAGAAGAGAAATGGGTTTGGCACGGCCTTGATTCATATTTATAATACTTGTAATATAAAGCCGATTGAATGGGATGGTCCACAAGACATGTCCGATCGTGAATGCCCTTTAATGGATAACAGTGGCGTGCATAATTTTTTTCTTTTTTTTTTCACAATTGTGTCCTACACGTTATATCTAGAAAATAATAAGATAAATATAAATAGGTTGTGAGTGAGAGAGAGATGATGATGATATTGATGATAGCGGACAGATTATTTGTAATATTTCTAATGCAGAGTTGGAGATAATATATAAGTTATTTGTTTCACTTCTTCGTCATCATTATTATTAATTTTATATTATTATTAAAGCCAAGTGTGTGTGTATCGCGGGCGGAATAATGGCATTTCCAAAATAAGTAATCCCACGCTATTAAATTTCCATATTCTACCACCTTGTGTATATATTATTTTCGTCATTTAAATCTTCGTTGTCGTCACACACACGCACACACATACGCGTGCCACACGCGCACACACACACACACGCGCGCGCGCACGCGCGCGCGCGCATATACATATATATATTTAAAGAAATGTTAAAGATCATAAACGTGCCAGAGAAAACATGAGAGGACCATATGGTCAGGTTCTTTTTTAGGATCGTGACAGTGCTGAATATGGCCAACGAGCAATGGCGCCCTCGCAGTCTCTGCGATGTCCCACCACTACCTTGTAAACATAGAGTTTTTTAATTTTTTTTTTTCTCCAAAATCATTTTTCTGCAAACTCTGTTCGCCTATATTAATTATTATAATAATAAATAATAAAAATAAACTGTGACAAATGTGTTTGCGTGAAATATTGTCGTGTACAAGACATTTGCATATTATATATGTATATATATATATTCAGGAGATAGTGCAGGACTGTATTAGAGAGAGTCGACTAAAGAAGAGAGGGTCTTTAATCCTTTTTTGGTGTTAGCGCCTTTCGGGTTTGGCCAAAAATGGTTCATTAGCCGGACGACTATGTAGAAGTTGTTTTTTTGTCGCCGCAAACCATTGTTGTGATTTGTGGTAGTGCCCATTATTATCATCGTGTCGTTACTTCCATATAATATACCTATTATCCTTAACTGGCAGTAAAATTAATCGTTAAAGCTTCTTGCGTGAATTATGATTTTCTTAGCACGTTTATATTCGGTCGTCGTGAATGTTTATAACGAAATTTTACCGAATACATCGAATCCGTACTTCGTTGATAGCATTATAATTTTTGATTTCATGCTAAATTCTGTCCCACAAACCTTTTACAAATTGAATTTATGATATATCGTCTCCGAAATATATATACATGTATAGATTTTTACATGAAATTCTTATTAGTATTGCCTTCATTATATTGAAATGAATCTTATCGCATGATATATTGTAACTGTAATTTGTATTTTGTTTCATAATTTTGATAACACAATACAGTATGTTATACAGCTATTTCATTAATATAATTTATAAATTAGTAATTCAAATATTTAATCGACATTTTGTTTTGCTAAATCCCTTGAATATTTTATGATATAATTAAATGAGCCATGAGTTCTTTTTATGATAACAGTTCAGATGAACCGTATTGATATGATGTATGCACAATTAACTGGTAGGCTGCATTACATATTATAATTTATTTGCAGTTATTATTATACTCTAACGTGTTTGGTGTGGTTGTACAATTATTGTTGAATTTATGTAATTTTTCTTGTGTTGGGAAAACTATAAAACCGTCACAATACTGTTGTTGTGTACAACATTCATTGCATACATATTTATACACACATGCATTGTGTAACAGTGTGCGTTTTATGTGCCAAATTGAAATAAAAAGCTTACATTCGTGTACGGATTTCAATTATGATAGAAATTGTAGTCGGCATAGTTGTGTATTGCAAAAACGAACGTATTAATAATAATAATAAAAACAGTACACGAGCTGGGCTTATAATTTCTTGAAGAATTTCAAATGTCTTATAATTTTATATCTATATGTGCAATTCTTTCAATGCAAGTTTATTAAACAAAAGTATAATGTTATAGAGGAGTGGCTCTGCGGCTGGTTGTTCGGATGACATATCAGTGATGTAATGAAGAAAACAAAAATAAAGGACAACCCAATGTTTAAATTGTTAATGAGCCATTACTTGAGCTGCAAAATAAAAATTAACACTTAATTTTTTTACTGTCACATCATGTATGGTATTTAAAAAAGTTTCAACTGGTCAGAGACAACATTTAGCCATATAAAATACTCTCGTGTTTCAATATGTTTTGTCAATTTTTATGTGATGAGAGACCACTCCACTGTTATCGTTATATATATATATATATCATTACATGTGTCAAACTACTAGTGCAATTCTATTACATATTTGTGATGAAACATGCATATGTATATATATGTTTGTGTGTGTATATGTAAGTATGTAAATCTAAATACATCACAAGTTTCGAATTTCATGTAATTATATGTATATATGTTATAATATCGTTTGATTATCCTTCGTTGCATTTTTCGATTTATATTGTCAACTGTTTCAAATTGGAACTCAAATTGGAACTTCCAATGAGAACCTTCCAAGAAATTCGTTATTTTTTTAGGAACGTATCGTGGACAAAATTTCTTTTTTGTCTGAAGGAACATTTTTAGAATTTCGATCACTGTTGGAACGTAAGTGGAACTTCCATCCCTTCGTTTATTTTTTGTTTAATTTTATTAAAATTTAAAATACAAAACAAAATATTATATTATGATTATTTATTGGCACAAGCGGTACATAATAATATGACATAACAGTTTCAATGGACTAATATTTTCTTTGTTATAGGTAATTTATTTATTTTACATATAAAACTTATATTTTCTAAGATTTATACATTCTATAAATATACTAAATTTGTTCGAATGATAAATTATAATATTGAATAACACATAAATAAAATAATGTATATAACTGTGTACACTATTTGTAGTAAGTGTTACCATACTACCACACGATCTTCACTCATGTTTATTTTCCAAATTATTTTACATTCAAAATAATAAGTCTCCCTATGATAATATATGAAGTATGTAAAGTAGGCTATGTTTAATATTTTTAATATTTATTAAAAATTACCATCGTATTTTTTTTATAATTTAAAAATCTGGATTAGAAAAGTATTCCATTTATAGGAAATTTTGTAATTGGAACTGAACTTATTTATTTTTTACAAAATAAACGTGAACATAACTAACTTTATTTTTGAAACAAACTTTCCTAGGACTATTTTTTTTTTAAATTATTTACTTGCGTAAAAATGTATTTAGAGTAAAATATATAAAAAATATTAAAGAAAATTGTCTTTGTAAATATTGTTAAATCTGCGAATCTGCAGTACGCAATACATTAAAAATATTATCATAGTGCATTCACGGTTTTAAAGCAACTTTATTAATTTTTATCGAAATACCTTACAAATGATCGTATATATGAATTTTTAGTTATTACAATTTCAATTATATCTAATAGTAGATTGTTATTTTGTTTTCAGTTCAACTTTGTTGGAAGAATATTGGGTCCACGTGGTATGACTGCAAAACAACTAGAATTAGAGACCGGATGTAAGATTATGGTTCGAGGAAAGGGCTCAATGCGTGATAAGAAAAAGGTATGTGCAAATATTTAAAATAATTTTTATTTGGACTATTTTTTATCTAACATATAACATGCATAATATTATTTATTTGCTAACATACAATATCTGGAGTTTTTAAGATTGAGTCGTAAGTAAATGTGTTAACCTACATTTGATAGGCGAAATATTTAAACATATTTATGTTTCAAGGAGGAACAAAACAGAGGTAAACCAAACTGGGAACATTTAAGTGAGGAACTTCATGTTTTGATATCTGTTGAAGACACGGAAAATCGAGCTAAGTTAAAGTTGAAGAGAGCCATTGATGAAGTGAAAAGGCTACTTGTACCTGTTAGTTGAAATTGCTTTTCTATTCTTAATACTAAATTTAATTCAAGTGTTCAACAAATTCAAATTGGCTTATTTTTATTTTTAGGCTGATGGTGAAGATGAATTGAAGAAACGCCAACTCATGGAACTAGCTATCATTAATGGCACATATAGGGATTCAAATGCCAAAGCATTGGCAGCAGCAGGTAACTATTTTTTTTATTTCAATAATAATTTTAATATTAACACCTTCATGTTATAGCTTGTGATGAAGAATGGCGTAGGATGGCTGTTGCAGCAGCTGCTGAGACACAGCGTCTTTTATCGCCTCATGGTATGGGTGGCTTGGCCACCACATTGCGACCACAGACAGCCACACCATTAGCTGCACCACTTATATTATCGCCGCGTATACCGACTGCCATTACTACCACTGCTGGAAATCCTGGTGCGCCTCAGCTATTATCTCCTGCTGAACATCATCATCATGCTGCAGCAGCAGCAGCTGCTGCTGGTCTTATATATACGCCATATGCCGATTATGCTAACTATGCATTGGCTGGCTCACCATTGATTACAGAATACACTCCTGCCGATCACTCGGGTGCGTTGTTGTTTGTTTGTTAAAAAAATGTCTTTATAAATATATACATACATATGTATATATATATATATATATATATATATGTATATATATTTATATATATATATATATATATATAAATATATATTATACAAAAAATGAATGCGCTTGGGATACTGAGAAAACGTTATTCAGGATGAAAATAATTAAAAATTACAATTAACGAGCCCCTGTTCAATATCAATAAACAATTATTAGTTTTTATAAGACTGAAAAAAAAACACATACAAACCTAATCAGTATTTTTTTACTTTTCAAAGCAAACTACTCTTGAGGTATTTTTAAATTTTAATTTATTTGTATTATTATATTAAAAGAATGTTCGGCCAGATACATGCTAATGGTTCCAGAACTACAAGGGCTCACCTACCGTCACTGGCCAAATCAACGTTAGTACCATCCTTAGTATTTGGCCATCCAATCCTTCTTTTTATGTTTGTGAGGTGCTATCTTATTTATTATTTATGTATAATTTTAGGAATTAATTTTATTTCAATATTCCTTATTATTATTTTTTTATAATTATAATTATTATTATTTATATTATTATTTATATTATTATTTATCTTGTTTATTTTTTTTTTATTTTTATTTATTTTCATTTTCCTTAATATTTTTGCGCGTTTTTGAATTGGTTTACTACATAAAGCTTTAATTTTTTTTTTCTTTTTTGTAATAATTTTATAGATATTATTTTAGCTATTCATATATATATATATCCCTTCTTTACCTCTGTTTCTTTCGCGTTTAGTTAGTTCAAATATTAATCTAACTTAACTAAAATATAATATAAAACTAGGTGTGTACTAATGAATTTAATATGATAATCAAAGATTTTTCCTAATAATACTCCTCAAGTACTTCCTATTGAAAAAATAAATTATTGCTTAGAAATTTAATTCTAACTGGTAAAATATAATTTTAATTATAATTTAATCATTCTTTATTATTTGTATTATTATTTTTATAATATTGAATTAGTAAATCGAAAAATACCTCCCTTATCTTTTAGTAAATATATTTCAACTACCAGGGACAAGTAATTACATTATTTTTTAGAAAAATGTGTATCCGGGTGTGACTCTAACATTAATAATACTAAAGTTTTTAACAAATTTAAAACAAAATATTAAATACATTAGGACCCAAATTAACAAAATACTTGAGGGACCAAAAAGAACCGCCAGTCAGGTTTTTTACTCATTATAAGAAGAATTTAAACTTCTGACACCTAAAGTTCCTTAATTTGATAAGAATGAAATACCATGACAAACACTTTTAATATTTTAATTATGTTATTTATATTATATATATTGATGTAAATATATATACATATATATATACATTTATATAGTATAATATTATAAAAATTACTCAGGCTGATTATATAATTAATGTTATGTATATTTTTTTTTTTTGTGATTATTTAGTACACATCTATGTTTAGAATTTGTTATACATATATATATATATATTTAAATATAATTATTATTACTTTTGTACAAGTTGTAGGGGGTCAACATTATACTATTATAAAATGGAACCTGGCTCTCCAACGGTGTTTTTTTAAATGCATTATAAAATTGTATTCTTCAATAAATAAATAGAAATAATATGTTTATAGCAGGTGCAGCAGCCGCGGTTGCGGCGGCGGCTCAGGTCGCCAAACAAAGAAGGCATTTGACTCAGATCAGGGATCATCCGTATCAGAGGGTTGGCACTTCGATTGTCAATTAAAAAAAAAAAAAAACCAAAATTTAAAAAAAAAAGTTCTTTGATTCTGAAAGGTCAGTTGCTATTCGTTTTTAATTAAGGGTTGAAAACCATAGTTTTTAGGGTTCAATTTGGCGCGAATATTAAATATAATAGTCCCAATTTGTTTTCAAAGATTTCAATGGCATCACTCCCATGCGCAATTTTTTTTATGATCTTTCTTTTTTCTAGGCCTTTTTTGGTTGTGATATTTTTATTTATTTTTCTTATCATTTATTTATGTGCTTATGTTGGTGTATTTTTTTTTTTTATGCCAACATAGAATTCAAACATATATATATAAAATGGATACAATAAATTAATTTATAAAGATTTTATATGTTTTTGCTTGTTAGGACAGTATTATGTAGGTGTAGGAGCTATCTATTATATATTAATTCGTAGATATAACATATTTAAGTATATTTTTCACGTATTGTGTTCTAATATTGTATTTAACAGCTAAACCGAAGATTTGTTTATTGGTGAAGGTAGACAAGTATAAAAATTATTTATGATTACTACGAAACATCCATTTTTTATGCACTATAATATTTAAATTTAATGCGTGTATACAAATAGTAAAATGGAAAAAACTTACATTTCTGGTTCAACAATAGTAATATTACAAATGATTACATGAAAGTTTTTTTTTTATCTTACTTATATTGTATCAAATATATAACGCTTTTTATACATATGGTAGTTAAATATTATACTAATAACAGTTCAAATTTACTTGGCAGAACACTTATTTATGTTTGTCACCAGCGTACTTACACTAATACAATAATAGAACATAATACTTTTAGCTGCTACTTTTTTAAAAAAAATATTTCAATACTAACATGTTTTTTTATTTATTTTTATTTAACCTCAAAAAAAGGCTTGCGGAGATCTAACATACTGGACCTTTATTTTAACACCACACAATGCAGCCTGCGGCCGAAGTGCGACGATTGCCAGACGGAACTATAATTAACAACTAAACAATATCATTCTGCGCACACATACACTCTTAAAAAAAACGCAATGTTGCACTTGAAATTATTCGTCTAACCATTTATCTGTCTGTCTAATCATTTGGTATAATAATATTTGTTTTATTTATATTATTATAGTGTTTAATGTTGTTTCGTAATATTAAAATTTAAAGACTAAATAGATTTTTTTTTTGAGTCATATGCCTTTAAAAATTTATATATAAAGATATTTATTTTGGCATTCATATCAACATTTGTTGTCACTAGTCTTAATATTTTTGTTTGTTTTTTTCCTGAACACTGAATCGCGTTTTGATCTGATACGCAAAGTATACGACAGTAAAAAAAAAAAAAATTGAACAAACTTTTATACAACTCTACTTATCGAATTTGCTTAGTTTAAAAGGATATATAATAAGAAAATTAAAAAAAATCTATACATTTTTTTTTGTTGTTATTATTGATAAGACCTATATTTTATGTAGTGTGCAATAAATTGTTTTTTTTTTTTTTTTTTTTTATAGAAAAAAATGTTTTGATTTAATTATGTAGAGAAAATTTTCAGTATTAAATTTAATTAAACTAATTGTATAATAATACGCCAGGTGCCAAAATCGACCCATGCCAGTTCGTTCTACATTTTTGTGTTATTTTAGAATATTATTTTAACATAATGTTTATAGAATATAAATTATCACAATAATTTATTATTGATGTTTATAAAAATATATATTATATTAAATAAAGTATATAAATATATATATATATATATATATATATAGATATATATTTAAGTTTTTATAATATTTTTGTAAGTACTTAAGAGCCTATATAATTTAGACAATCTCGAATAGGCTTAATATATATTCATATATATATATAATATACATACATTATTATTATTATTATTTTTTTTTTTGTTGTTTACGAATCTCAACGTCACAATAGTCGTGTTTTTGTTTTTTCTTGTTATCTTAGACGTTTGTAGTTAATATATAAAATAATTATGTAGTATATATATATATATACATATATATGTATATTTATACATATATATGTATATTGTAGTTTTTAGAAAGAAAATATGTTTGTAGTCGAGCACTTTATACTGCCTCCCAAAAAATTAATCAATTATTACTGCAGTTTGATATGTTCAGGCTTATGTGCCATAAGGTAAAAGTAATTTAATTTTTTTTCTCGCTAAATTAAGATTAAATATATTATTACTGAATACATTTTACTTTATTTCAACCTTATACTCTACTTTAAAACATATTTTTGAAGTAAAAAAATTAAAAAAATATTTGTCTCTAAGTTTACGCTTGATGATATAAATTTTATTATTTTTATTTATAAATATATGTACATGTATATGTATGTATGTACGTATTTAATAAATACTATTTATGTGTGTTTTATCGACGTATATATATACACGTATTGGAGTATCTATTTTAATCAAATTTATTGATGTTGCATGTAAGGTTTTTCAGATTTTTATGAAATTTATTTTATAAATGAAAATGTTTTAAGAAATGACATGTATAATAAAAAAAAGCATGTAGAACAAAGTGGTTTTTTTTTATGCAAAAATATATTTTACGGTTTTCAGATTTTTCCGCTTGGACAGTGAAAATTTTTGAGCGCTTTTGCTCGATACCTATTATATTCTGTCGTGCTCCGAACCTCACCCACCGTTAGATACCTAACCGCCTATCACATGACGCGGTTAGAGAAAGATGGAATAGAATGCATTCTCTCTTTGAATAAATATATAAGGTGTTTCAAAGAGAATGCATGATTTAAAACTGCTGTAAATTAAATTTATTATTTTTAAAAAAACATAACAAATATATCATCTTCTGGAAAAGTTAAGGTTTAACAGTGAAAAATAGTATCGGGCATATGACCCTCTACAAGCCCTACAAGCGATTATTCTCTCCATAAAATGTACTATCACTGGATAACACAATGCTCCTTCAAGTTCGTTGAGGATACAACGGATTTCTTGCTTAAGTTCCAAGACATTTCGAACTTTGTTCTAATAAACTCTTGACTTAGTATATCATTATAATCAAAAAAACACACGGCGTCAAGTCGCAAGATCGAGATGGGCATCTTTGGACACGCAATGAGATTAGTTTATCTAGGAACTTCTTACGCAGCAGAGTGATTGTTTATCTTGATGTGTGGTAAATTAAAACCAAACATTTTTTATGTTAATTTGGTTCAAATAAGGCAAAGAAAATTACTGAACTCAGTAGGTATTCGTGTATGGTTACAACATGACTGCACAACTTTAAGAGAAACAATCAAGAGAACCAATGTGTTCACCAAAGCTTACTACTTTTTACTTCGAAAACTTTTTGATCAATATCATCTGAATAAACTCATTTAAATCTTTGATTACTTTATTATTATAAGTTTCATTAAAAATTAGAAAACAAAAGTCAGATGTAGTATTTTAATGGTTCAAAAATCGTTCTTCTAACTGTTGAATTAAGTTGTCCACAAATGAAAGGAATATAATAATTAAAAAAAAAAAAAAGTTAACTGTAAAATAATTTGATCTATGTTATTGTTGTTTAACCTTTTATGTAAATGCTTGTTGATAATGAAGAAGTTTTATAAGGAAATTAATTTTTTTTAGTTATCGTTTCATAATTTGAAAACTATTTATAAGGGTAGGGACTGAGTGTTATATCTCCCCCTCTGCTTACGCCTATGGTCTCAGATATTTGGGTAAGTATAGTACCGTATTTAGACATTTTGCGCCCCTCTAAGGGGTCTACCCACGGAAATTATACGAGGAGATAGATCCTCATGAACCTTATAGATATTCTAAAATCAATGCTTCTTTTGTGTAGTAGGCATACCACCGTAAGCTGCAAGCGATAACATTATACGCCGTATTATTACAAACAGTGGCGTGCCGAATATAGGTCTAAATGATGCCCAGGTATCAAGTTAAAAAGGGGTGGGTGGTTGTTGGATAATAATATGTAAATCACATAATTATCGTATATATTTAGGTAGAGAAATATTGATGTACGAGTTCTGAATGAGATGAATTTAAATATGGGTGGTTGGGTGGTAAACTAGACTTTGCAATTGGCATCAAAAACATTTTTATCTCGGCACGCCACTGATTACAAATAACCTATGTTTAATGACATTATCACAACAAATTTGGGAACTAATATTAGGTGGGTATATTAATAATATTCTGGATCGCTGATTGCTTTAAATACATTAACATTAATTTATGATACTGTTATTAAAAACAAAAAAAATAATAATTTCAAAATAATTTTAAAAGTTCAATAATTTACAAGTGATCATATTTCCGACCACAAAATTTTGGCGCCCGGGCAGTTGTAGCCAGTGCCCCCCCACCCGAAAAAAATTTTAACTGTTAGTTAAAAAATAATTAGATTAACCCACCCATCCCTTATACGGCAGGTAAGTTGCGTCTCACATGCTCGGACACTGCTTATGTATGGTAATAATGACCACGTTACCTGTTATTATCAATTTGGGACGTAATGCACCGATTGTTAATCGGAATTAATTTCTTGATGATTTGGTGACTGTAACATTGATTATAAAGATAGTACCTATTCAAAATCAATGCTCTGCATATATAATCGTATGTTTACCGTAATCATTAAGAGTCTTAATGATTATGAACATTTTGGCGCCCCTTAACATATTCCAGGGGGGCTATTGCCCCTCCAAACCACCCTTTAAATACGGCCCTGATTAAGACATTTAACGCTTCCTTCAGATTGACGTGAAAAGAATTTAGAAATTGTATTTGAATAATTTTTCACGAAGATTTAGTTAGTGTGCTTCATATATAATAATATATAATAAATTTAGAAATCTACCTACGAATTAATTAATCAATTTTTCACCATTAGATAGTGGCGCACACAGGGAGGGTCAGGGGTTTCGACTGACACCACTTAAAGAATTGGTGTATGACTAGTTCTGTGTGAACTTGCATGAATATTTGTTTAATTTAATACTAACCAATTTTTCAGCATTACCAAATCAACATACTAATTATGTTTACCCTAGAACTAAAGCATCACATGAGAATTAGTAGTAGGGCTCATCCCAAAAATTATGTTATACAATCTTATAAATTAATACCCATAAAATTGAAAAATAATTAATATTAGGTTTATTTAAAAAAAAATGTTGTTTTTAGTATCTTTGTAAGCAAGAAAATATCATGAACACTTAAAAATAAGAGTTATACTATCACTAAACTCAGATTTTACTGGTGAGGGTGGGTGAGGTACCTCAAAATATATATTTTCGACACCCTTGTCAAAAATCTACTGTGCGTCACTGATTAGATACTAAATTCAATTGATTTATTAAGTAAAAATAGCATTTTAACTTACTTGAATGATGATAGAATATTTTTAAACAAAAATTTAAGCATAATTATTAACTGCCAAGTAAAATAAAATAGTTGCTTAAGCTAAATAAATGTTATTTTGCGGTTATTTATACAAAAAAACCCTACTTAGTAGGTCTTGCATCTACTATATCACTATAAAAGTAATTGAGATAGCATAGTATCAAGGAATAAGTAAATGATACAATGACATACCAACAACTATTTATCATTAAAATGTTAATTTATTGAACTTATGAGTACCTATTGGTTTTTTGCTTAACATTATAGCTTAAGAAATGTATTTGAGACAGTAAACATTTATGAATACAAATGTATATTTAATCATATCAACAATAAAAAGTTAAAAAATTAACTTAAAATAATAACAATTAAAAATATATTTCTAACTAAACCAAATATCTATATAAATTGGATTTATTAAAGGAAAATAGTTTAATTTTTAATTAGATATTTTATGTATAAAATATACAAAGAAATAACTAATTAAATTGAGATTTATAACCAATCTTATTATGAGACATCATCTCAATTCATCACAAATTATTCACTTGAAAAGTGAATGTTATCCAAGTAATTAAAAATTAAAATAAATTAAGTTATAATAACTGATTTCAATTAAACAAAAAAAAAAAAAAAATAAAAATAAAAAAAAATTAAAATAAAAATAAAAATTCCAAGTTTTTAATGGTTTTCGTGATATTTGTTAACTTGACTTCGATTAAAATTTCTATGGCAAATGTTGCACTGGTTATTCTCAGCCTTTAGGCAATTTCTACATTGCAGATGTTTGCAAGGTAAAGAATACAAATTGCTATTTTCATAACAAGTACTACATTGTAATTTGGCTAATTTTGTTTGCCGTTCTGTATAAAAACTAAAACTTCGTTTACCTACTGTACGGGGTAAACACTTAATATTTTCATTGTCTACATGTTTTATAAGAAAAGAATCAATTCGTCCTTTTAATTCAGGTACAAATATTGGTTTTAATGTGTCTGTGAATGGTATTCCAGTAAAAGGATCACAAGGTGTACGCCCGTATGTGGCGTCATGTTCAAAGCATTTTTCAATAGTCGATCTATCAACATACTTCCCACAAGGTAAAACCATAGGATAATTCATTATTTCATAAGTAATTGAATCTAAAAAGTCTTCACATATTTTAAAATTATCTGGATTTTTTTCTATAATTTGTTGGTTATTAATGATTTCAACTTGTTTTGCTTTTGGTTTTTTACTTTCTTCCCATTTAAGAGTAATTATTTGTCGTGTTTGTAGAGAAACATTACAAGAAATCTTTCCCCAAACCTCCAATTTACTAATTGCTGGAATAGAATTTACTGTTTTGAATATACGTACTGACAACATTTCAGCTGACCTAATAGATCTACTAGCTGAAATGTTAAAACAGCATTTATCATAATTGTTTCCAAAGGAAGATAAATCCGTGTTGTTGTCATGAAATACGATTGTGTCTTTTTCAGTTATCATTGAACAGATTCTTAGTACATTATTGTTACGCCCAGCAGATAATTGAAATCCTGAAGATTTTTGACCCCCTACTCTAGTACCAATCACTACATATTTAATATCAAAAGAAAACGAGAAACAGACTGTTAAACTAATAGGCGGCCGGATGAATGTTTCACACAAAAAACCTCTTTTTCGTAATTCTTCATCAGATGATAGAAGGTTTTCAACAGAATAGTTTTCTCGAGATATACAACTTCCATCCAAATGTATTCTGGCATTGAAAATTGGATCACATGCATTTATAAGCTAGAGATAAAAAATTTATTTTATTGAAAGAATTATTATTTAATGTTACTGACTCGCTTACCATTTTGATTTACTGTTGTAATTAAGTCAAGGAAATTCGTCCATAAATTAGTTTTTAGCTTAATGTCCACAAATTAAAAATGCATCTTTCAGATATAGTAATCTTCATCTACAAATACATTTATTCTATTACCAAAAAATAATACATTTTTGTCTTATTTTGCATACAAGAAATTAATATGGCCCACTTTTATTTGTATAATAATAATTGTGAGTTACTAGGCGAAGTTGAATACAATTTATTTTACAAAAAAAGGTTTAATTTTTAATTTAGGCGTCACTTAGCTAGAGTTTACCTTAGCTACCCAATAATATTATAAATAACAGATAATTTAATGTTTATTTGTAGAATAATAATACCACATACGATATTAAATGATAGTTAATATCACATATCGTATTCTGTAAAAAGTTGTTATGATAACGGTCATATTTGTGATAACAGTTGATTATGAATTCAGATATATATATATATATATATATCTGTGATTATGACTGATGGGCTGAAATTTAATTTCGGTGATGGCTTAGTAATAAAAATGCATTATTATAATATTCCAGACATGATCTTCATTTATATTTAGTCATCTTAGGCCTTCATATAAAGTTCTAACTAACGAACGACAAGTAATGGGAATTTGTATTTCCAGTTCGATTTGTATTTACGCGCGTTTTTATTCGTGCTATCAGAGGATTGAGTGGTTAGGTGACACGATACCATATGTTTTGTGGTATAAAATCCGGTTTAATATGAACTTTTCTCATACAAAACCAAGTGAGTGTGTGTATTATTATAGCAGGAATTATACACGCTTGTGTTGTTTGGTGTTTTTCTTTAATAAAAAAAAAAAAATAATACATACTATTACATAACTTAACATTACATAACTTCTATGCCGTAGTGGGCTAATATAATTATTCAAAAATGTCGGTTACAATTACCATTGCTCAAATTCGCCAACATTTAAGTCATTTGGCCAATGCACAGACGTCTCACAAAGACCAAGTTGATAAGTGCGAAACTGCCATTTGATTACCAATATTAATTTGACTATAATCTCATATTCCATTGTTTTGTTATAGGTATAGAGCTCTGTTGAACAACGTTTTATCTAACACTGGTGACAATGTCATTGAAGCGCTTAAAGTATTTGTTGAAGCCAGTGAGTAGTTTTCAATGTTTGCGTATTGATCATTATTTGAATAGTGCTGGTTTAAAGATTTTTAGGATCTTCATGAACTTGGCTTATTTGTAGAATGTTTTCAAAAGTTGTGTTGAGTTTTTTTCTGATTTTTCTTATGCTAAAGAAAATTACTGGAATATTTTTAAAATTGAATTTGTGTTCTGTTATATAAATGTGTACTTACTTTTTGTGTTAATTTACAGCTTGATAGTTAGGCCACAGAAAATTAATGTAAACTCAATACATTTTTCATTTAGCTTAAGATTTTAATTGAAATAATATATTTAGTGATCTATCAATTGTCTAATACCAATTATTTTGTAATCTTATTTATATGGAATATGGAATACGATGTGTAAAGATATATATTGTATTAATACATTATCTTATTGTTAAAAATTATTCCCTATATTATTCTATTGCATTCCAGTTTTTATTTTAATTCTAATAAATGGACATAAAATATTTTTTGTATCAGGGTTTAAATATGGATTAATTATAACCTATGGTAGGTAAAATAAATGAAGGGTACAGAGGAAAAACGGTAGTTCATTTTTTTCGATTTCGATTTTATGGTTTGATTTGATAGCAAATTAGGAGTAATTTCGACAGTTGAAATAAATTCAGTGAAGAAAGATTTTAGTCCATACTTTATTTTTTCTCCCCTGAAAAATGTACAGAAATGGACTACTATCGTTTTTCCCTTGTACCATTCAAATGTTATTGCATTTATTTTTCTTTGGCTTAGTGGAATTCCAAAAGTTTTAATTTGTAAATCTTTTTTCTTTGGATTATTTACATAATAAGCTTTCAACATTTTTAGAAAATTGATGCAGAACTAAAAGCACATTTCAACTAATTTTTACTTTAACTTTATTTACATTACTTTTAAATTTGCAATGAATATTATTTTGGGCCAATTCCTAAAATAAAAAAAAATAAAATAAAACATATACTTTGTCTTTTGTATGAATAATAAATAATCAGTTTTTATAACTATTTCTTTTAATATATGTATAACATATAATATATACTATTCATTGTATATTTTTATTATAGCATTTTTTAAATTATTTACATTACTTGAATTTGTACATTGCCCTGAGTGTGCCATCCCATCCTTTTTAAATCAGCACTAATTACTCTAGGAAATATTAAATAAATTACTAATATCTCATTAATTTTAGTCGTTAATGAAAATGTCAGTTTGGTCATATCTCGTCAGATATTATCAGATGTCAGCACACAACTTTTACCTGATTTGCCTGATGGACAGTCTAAATTATTAGCACACTTCACTCTAGATAAGGTTTTTTTATTTATTATGTGTAATATAAAATAATTAATTATTTAAAACTTTTAGATTCAGCCTAGGGTAATATCTTTTGAAGAACAAGTGGCTAATGTACGTCAACATTTAGCATCGATTTATGAACGAGAACAAAATTGGAAGGAAGCTGCATCTGTACTTGTTGGTATACCACTTGAAACAGGACAAAAGTATTTATATTTTGCACATTATGTTAGATTATTACTATAATATACTATTAATTCTTTTTAGAAAATATACTGTTGATTATAAATTGGAAACATATATGAAAATTGCAAGACTGTATCTAGAAGATGATGATCCAATGTTGGCAGAATCTTATATTAATAGGGCCTCATTGTTACAAGTGCATTTTAAATATTAATTCATTTGTAGATAAATATTAAATAATATTGTTTTGTTTTGTAGACTGAATCCAAAAATGAAAAATTACAAATTTGCTATAAAGTTTGTTACGCTAGAGTACTGGATTATAGACGCAAATTTATTGAAGCTGCGCAAAGATACAATGAATTGTCTTATAAGTCAATTATATCTGACGAAGAACGTATGACAGCATTAAAAAATGCTCTAATCTGTACAGTTTTAGCATCAGCAGGTAAGATATTGTTTAATTTTCTGCCATTTTGGTGTTTATTGTTCTAATTTTTGTTGGTAGGTCAGCAACGTAGTCGAATGCTGGCGACTTTGTTTAAAGATGAAAGATGTCAAAGTTTGCCTGAATTTCCGATCCTTGAAAAAATGTATTTAGATCGAATAATTCGTCCCAATGAGATTGCTCAATTAGATGCAATGCTGCAGCCACATCAGAAAGCAAAAACAGTCGATGGTAATCATTTGCATTATTCAAATTTAATATTGATTTTCGTTGAATAATTTTGTATTATTTTTACATCTTTAAATACTATAGGTGCAACCATATTGAATCGAGCTATTATTGAACACAACTTGTTATCAGCTAGTAAGCTTTATAAAAACATGAAAATCGTGGAACTTGGTCGTTTATTAGGAATTGAACCAATTAAAGCGGAGAAAATAGCAGGACAAATGATATCAGAAGGACGTATGGAAGGTTCAATTGATCAGATTGATGGTTATGTTCATTTTAAAAGTAAGATAAATTTTTTACATGAGGTCTTATAAAGGAGTGTTTATGCTCAGGCAGGGTCATTTTGAGAAATTTTCAATGGGAAGAAGGATTTAATCAAAAAGTTATTAGTATCACTGATCCCTAAATTATTATCAATATTATTTTTTTTGATGCAACAATTATATTTATAAATTTATAAATTTTATATATATATATTGTATGTATATATATATATGATGAGACAGTGAATTTCACTTATTTAATATAATATGAATTTATTGAATAAAAGATGAACGAGAGGTTTTAAACTTATGAACCTTCTCTTGTGCTCTGGCACTAAATGATAAATAAGTTTTAAAATTGATGTTACTAATATCTTTATAATTATGTTATTAAAAAATATCTATTATATGTTGTATATTTATAAAGGTTAAGTTTTTATATCCTTACATAAATATATTTATGCAGATTTAGGTATTAGTTCATTAGACAAGTATTGCAATTAGTGTACTAGTAGTTGCTACTGACATATTTATTTTTTAACTTAATCTTTTTTTTTCCAATAGCTCAAAAATTATTGCCGACTTGGGACAAAAAAATCGAATCGCTATGCTATCATGTCAATCATATAATTGAACTTATGTCTGCAGATCCAGCTACACGTGAATGGATGAATAAACAGTTAAATGATCAAATGACACTTTAAACGGAGCTAATTGATATAAATTATATTTTATCTAATATATGATGTTAATTACACTGCTTTTTATTTCTTTATTATAATAAAAATACTTATGATTGTTTTATAATCCTACGATTGCTGACAATAAGTTTTGTCTACGTGACATTCAAGAAGCAGTGGCATGAACATAAACTTATAAGGCAAGTTCCAAGCCAATACCAAATTTATGACCACCCTGGTTGAATTGACGACATTCAAATAAGCTGGCCAATGTCAATGTGACACCTTAAACACAAAAATATTTTAAAAGTTAATTTCAGTCTGTAAAAAATTTAATATAAAGGAAATATACCATCTTTGACTTTAATGCCTGAGCCCAAACACAATTGGCTTTTATTATTGATCTTAGCACGCAACTTGACATCATTGTTTAGTTGGTACTGAGTACCAATGGCAAGTGATGAATCATTGCTTTCACTTGACCAAGACACTTGCAAACCCAAATCTAATTGATCAGATAACTTTTGAAAGACTGAGCCTCCGAACACTGTGTTATCGTTTCTGTAAAATATTTTTTAAGTAACAATAGAATTCATTATAATGATGATAAATGTACTTACACAGCTGTAGTGAATACAAATTGCTTAGCTACATAGCTGAGAGCAAGGTTGTTGGATTGTAAAGTTTGAGAATCAGTATTGTATTTAACATTGAAGCCTCCCAACCAACCTAAATAAATAATAATACAAATTAATGTTGATAAAAAAAAAGGTGAAATCAACTTACCATTGTAAGCGACTACAGCAGAAGCATTGATAATAGGTTTTAAGGCTTTGAACTCATTGTCCAAGTTAACTGAGATATAATCATTTTTGTATTCAGCCTTTACTTTTACAGTCTTGGTTCTAAAATAAAAAAAAATATATGTAATACATTTAGTAATTTAAGAAATGAAATAGTAATTTTATTTACTGCTTTTTGCGGTCAAATGTTCCGTCAGCAATGACTTTGACACCAGGTAATAAACCACTAACTGAGGCTTCAGTTGTCATAACATCATTGGTGTTCCATTTCTCAACAAAATTGAACACTAGAAAAAAGAAAATTAATCATTTATAGCAATATATTATAAACAATAAAATCGAGTGGCCATATTCTAATAAATTATCAGACGGTTTAAATAATTTGATTAACACTATGAGGGGAGAACTGTAACGTGTTCGGCCATAATGACTCACAGTATTTATTTTTATTGATGACGTATTTGGTCTCCAAATTGGCATTTACGGCGCCCGAAGTGAAATGCTGGGTACCGCCAGCCTTGATTTCCACGTTTTGGTTTGTTTTCAGGTCCAACTTGAGCACGTCGAACACGTATCCATTGTTGAATACATCGCGAGCGGCTTTTCCCAGATCACTGTACGAAGGAGGAGCCATTTGGATTGATCGAAATGCTAGAGCAACACAGAAAGAAAGATTAAACGGTGGCCGCAAACGTCGTAGGTCGGCGAAAAGAATACGGTTATACGACAGTGCGGAGCAGTGGGGGGAATGTCATTTTGACACCACCGCCGCCACTACCACGTCTCAATGAACGCCTGGTCCGGTTCGGTCGTCGTAACGAAACGCTTACGATTGCGGTTGTATCGCTTTCGAAACGAGAAACCGGCGGCGTGCGACTTACCTGTTACGAGCTACGGAGAATATCTCGAAAATCGATGAGCGACCAAATCCGTCGTAGGGTGTCGGTTTCACGGGATATGGACAGCGTGCAGGAGCGGCGAGCGAGTAAAGATAGATAAATTGTTTTATATCACAATTGGTCGTAGCCGCAGTAGGGGCAAAGACGTAACCGGGTCACGTGATAAGACTAGTGAAAACAGTATGAAAGAAAAAAATTGCACTCAATGTGCTTCAGAGGGGTGATGGTGGGTTTGGGGAAAAGTGGAATTAAATTGTATTGCCGACCGTTCGTGAAGCCGGTAGTGTTGGAAATTTCTAAGAACGAATGCGATCAAATTTTCCCATACTCGGCAAACACACGGGTTTTTCAGTATAGTTTTGTGTAATTTACGGTTCATGGAAGAAAAAAACCCGTAACACTCGGCGAACCATAGAGTAATTATATTACTCTATGGGTCGCACTGTTAATATTGAAAAGCAGGCGCTGCCGGCGGCTTAAAATCAAAAAGGCCGATCCGGTAAATTATGTATTGCGAATATTTTTCATCGCCTGACTTTGCGATTGCATTTCGATTAGAAATATGCGGTTATGGCAATTGGCCGTCTGATAAGATTGCTGATTCATTTCAAGGTACTCGTATGTATTTTTATTGCGTAATAAATGATGATTACCCGTGTTGGAATGGTTCTAAAATTAAAATGTACTGTTCTTTAACGATTACATCTTCCATTGCTGTCGATGGCTTCAATTAAAAAATACAATTGTGTTTTGACGGTTCTTGTTTTTTTTGTGCGGGCTCTTTGACACACAGAACAGTATTTGTTTCGTACACCCACAGATAAAACTTTTAGTTCTATAACCAATTATTGAAGCCTATACTTAAAAATTGGGCGTAATGCGTTTGGCCGAATTTTTAAAAATTGCAATGTGTTTGGGCAATTTATCATAATGCGTTTGGGCGAGTGATTTTAAAACATTGTAATGTGTTGGGGTGACCTTTTTTTTAATAATGTGGGATGCTAAAATACTTATTCGTCCATTTTCCCTCTTATTTTGACAGACTTGTGGGACTGTCCATGAATTCCATGGGTATGATTAAAAATTGATTGCAGCTTAACCACGGTTTTTTTTTGTTTGAATGTGTAATTGAAATTGAAATGATTTCGATATTTTAAAAATTAAGTTAAAATATTATTAAAATTAAAAAAATATATTTGTTTTATGTTTATTAAATTTTTTTTCCTGGAAATTTTACTCCCATACGTTGTATATACTCTAAAACCTTAATTTCACCTGACATATACTTATCCCAGCATGTTTTTTAATATTCTTGTTTTTCTAATATGACTTTTCGTCGAATATTGTAAATATTTTTATTAATAGCATTGCATTTTGTGTTAGTTTCTGCTTGAATTTGTTGTAACACATTAATTACTTGATATAAATTTGGATGTGATGAATAAAATTGAGAATTATAATGTGCATGGAATGATTCGGCTCCATTTTTTGTGTTTGGATAATTTCTAGGTTTCTTTGCCCATAAGGAGGAAAAATAGCATTCTCTGTAATATATGTATCAAGTATATAATCTGTAAATTCAATGATTTTTTGAGTTTTTGGAATAATTGAAATAAGTTCTATAAAACCGTTGCCTACTTTATTGGATGGTAAATATGGTATTCCGAAAAAATGTTTAAGCCAAACACTAAGTTCGGAATTGGTACCATATTCTCTTAGCAATATTTTATTTTTTTGAATTTGTCTAAACCAACATTGTGCTAAATGAAACTGACAACACATCAATTGACAACCCGGAAATGAATTAATAACTGCGTTATGAGCTGCTTTTTCCAAACTGAATGAAATTTTTGTACATTTATAATTTTACTTGTCAAATCAATACACAATTTATTTATTTCTAAACACATAGAAATATATTGATTTTCAATTTTTGATGTCAAAAATGTATATACTACGGGTATATAATAATTGTTTGAAGATGTGTTTTATATATAATTAATAAAAGTAATTAGGAGCATATCTAAATGTCCTATCGCCAAAAACGTTTTCAGATCTACAAAGATGTTATAAGTTTTCAGAACATGTAAACAAAATAATTTGTTTTTCTCAATTGACGAAACAAAATTGTTCATTATTAGTTTTAATATCGACTTAAGTTTCAAACAATTGATTAAACGCTTCATCAGTAGTTTTTGGAATTTTGGGAAAATGTTTTTTACGAATCCTATAAGCCGATTCTCTCAATAATTTAATGTCATTATGAACTATTACCTCCTTAAAAACAAGATTAGTGTCTTGAATTTCCTTACGTATAATCTTATTTGGTCTTGCATATAAGTCTTCTTCGGCTTTCCTTTGATAGCAGTTCTAATACACTTAACAGCTAAATTGTGATCAGTAGTTGGTTCGTGATTATGTATATTATTATTCGAAAAAGATAGTATTTTATCGATGTCAAAATTCATTAAAACACTTTCATTATATTTTCTGTTAGTACACCAAAAACGAAAAGACCAGTTTTTCAAGTGGTTGATAGATTCACTAAAAATTTAATTTTCAATTGAAATGCATCGTTTATTTCTTTTTGTATTAAAAATATAATCACTTTTAAGATCCATAATATTAACTAACTTAACAAACTCACTAACACTACAATACAACTTCATGTTTTTAATGTTTAAACAAACTGATATTTGAAAATATGATAGTTACCTATACTAGTTGCCGATCCCTGCTATAAGACTATACCATAATTAGGTTGATATAAAATTTCCAATACAATCATAATATTTTTATTTTAATCTTTAAAATTTTATCTTTTATATTGTCTCGCTCAAATACATTAATTTCATTATGCGGGTAAAAAGGCAATTTATTCAAACGCAGACTGCCCTTTAAATTTTTTTTTAAATAATTTTTTTTTAAATAATTATTATATTATCGTATCAATTTCAATTAAAGTAAGAATAACAATATCATGATAAAAAAGTTTATTACCGCTCCCGAAAAAGCTTTATATTTTGTCCAGTAATTTAGTTTAGACCACTATCTGCAATGACAGTACACATGGGAGTACCATCTGTGTCTAAATTATTATTGTCTATTGCTAGTTGCCATTCTTCAATACTTGTTTTTATCATCTCATCTAAGGCAGAATTTTTTACATCATCATCAAGCATCGAAAGATGTTTGATATAAGACGTTGATGAAATATTTGGTACCTCGATTGCAGCAGAGAGTTCGCTTAATTATTGAGCATGGTCAATTCCTATATAATTTAGAATGGTACAATGTTATATTATAATTTATAAGTTAAATATTTAAATAATATATTATATGTATTACCAAATATTTAAATAATATATTATATGTATTAATAGCTAAACTGCCATTTACAATAACTTTATTTATTCCTAAAGAATTTGACTGTACTGTTCTCTTTGAATGTATAGTACTTTTAAAATTACACATTTTACATTTAAATGTAACCATTGACGTACGAGCGGTGGCGTGGTGAAGTGAAATATTTTATCGGGCAATTTATTATTTTGAATGACCTACCACCCAGAGGCTGTGATATGGGGGCAAGCCCCCCAAATTTATATTTTGAAGCTAATGACCCAAGTGGCGCACAGAAGTATTTTGAGAGCACATGCAACTAAAAAGTTACCCACCCACCCACAAATTTTTTTATTTTTTAAAAAAAAACGTTTGTTTAAATTGTTGTCTGTAACCGTAATTAAATCTTAAAACAACTATAAATTTAAGAAATTGAGATTAATTATAAAGGTTGCAAAACATACAAGGAGCTTCAAAATCACCGAAATTTTTCTACCAAACAAAATAACGGTAACAAAACAAATATGGTTAATTTTAATTTTAAATCTAATAACTGTGAAAGTTCCCAGCCGCCAACACAAACCACTAATACAACCCCAGGTCCATCATATGTTCAGGCAACTTATACTCAAACGCCTACTCCATCATCACAAAATATGAACAACGACCTCACATCCTTTATTAACAATTTTCAAGCTATTATAAATCCACTAATAGCCCTCCTCACAACAGTCTTCGACCGCCTATTATTTAACAATGTTAAATAATTCATACACTTCTCAGTCCCTACTTATTTTTTTTATGGAACGCCAATGGTTTAAAAAACCATAAAAACGAACTCACCACAATACTCTACGAAAAAAGAATTGACATAGCCTTAATCACCGAAACTCATTTCACACTAAACACTAAATTTTCTATCCCCGGATACAAACTAATATCAGCACCCCACACCGACAACACTGCACATGCGGGTTCTGCGATCCTCATCAAATCCTCCTTACAATTCAACACCTATCCTACAATAAACGAAGATTTTATACAGGCAGCAATAATTACACTCAAAACAAATCACATAAATTTCTATAGCAGCAACGTATTGCCCCCCCAAACACAAAATAACCACATTACAATACCAACAATTTTTCATGTCTCTCGAACGCTATTTCTTAGTTGGTGGTGATTTGAACGCAAAGAATCCAACTTGGGGTTGTCATACCCAAAATCTAAAACGGCAGACCCTAAATCATTTAATAAACATAAAAAAACTCAAAATATTATCCCCCACTAACCCAACCTATTGGCCAACATCCCCGAGGAAATATCCCGATATATTGGATGTATTTGTAGTAAATATTCCAAATAATATCTCTCATTCTATAAATAATCTACTCGACCCGTGTTCGGATCATTCTCCGGTTCTCCTAACACTAGACACCCAACCTCTACCCCAACCAAGACAAGTTTGTCTTACTGAAGGTATTATGAACTGGGCGAAATTCAGAGACAATTTAGATCAAAATATCGACTTAAAAATTAGTCTTAAATCACCGGAAGATATAGAAATTGCCACCCAAAAACTTACAAATTTAATTCAATCAGCAGCCTGGAATTCCTCCATAAAAAAAAACCCCAAAAAACATTCAAATCCATTTTCAATTCCCGCTTTCACCAGGGAATTAATTGCTCAAAAACGTCGTGCCAGAGCACTTTGGCAACGTTCAACATTACCATCTGATAAAAATATTTACAACAACCTATCCTCATCTCTAAAACGTAATCTGAACCAGAAAACGAATCCTTCAACTCTTGGATTTCTTCTATCAGTGGAAAAGACGGTTCCCTTTGGAATGCAACTCGTCAGTGTTTTAAACAAAAACCTTAATGCTCCCCCTTAAAAAAACGTGATGGTACCTGGTGCAAATCAGATGATGAGAAAGCAGATATCTTCCGTTCAC